ATAAATTATAATAAATAGATATATATTTTTTAAATATATACTCTAATATATTCGGGAATTTTTTCATGCATCTTTTCATTTGCATTAAATTGCTTTTTTGAAATTAACAAGCAATATGAACATCAATTATTCCTATGCAAATCGACAAAATACAGATTATTGTGTAATAATGAGAAATTGTTTACATTATGAAATTTCCGATTCTCTCTCTCGACAATGCAGCGCGGTGATATTTATTGCGAAATGAATATTTATTAATTTTATCTTTTGAAGTCTAATATCATATTCGATATTGGAGTCGTCAATGCACAAGATAAAGTCTTTTTAAGATCATGCATATTTACTTTTGATATTTTCTTCTTATCATCTTTGATAAATCTTTGCGTATTTTAAATGACTTTTAGAGAAGCTTTAAAATATTTTTTTACGTTATCGTTATCATTATTCAATATCATCAAAGCCATCTTTTGCTATTTCAGCTACAAGGAAAGAACAGTTTTGCTGAAATATAAAAAATTTAGTTAGATTTGAAAATAATTTGATTTGGATCATCAAAATAATTATGTAGAATGCTCAAACTGTTAGAATATTAAAAAGTTAGCATCTCATCTTACTTGATATTCCAACGTAATTACTTTTATGGCCTAATAAAATTATTTTCAGATTTAGCTAAATTTTAGATACTGCAATAAAATCGTTTTTTCCCTATATCATAAAATTCATTAATTATGCATACAAATTAATCTTTCTTTCTCTCTCTCTCTCTCGATCTCTCTTAATGTAGTTTGTGTTTCTCAATTACAAATTCTAATTAATTTGTATTATATTATATTATTTTTTGTATTATATTATTTTTTATATAATATATTTTTTCTATTATATTATGGTTTAAATTTTTTCTATCTTTTTCTATTATTTGTTTTTCTTATTTTTAATGTTTTCTGTTAATTCTTTATCATTTTTTTGAATGTGTTTCTTAATATTTTTTATATTTTCATTATTTTTTTAAGTTATATATTATTTTTAATGTTTGAAAGAAATTCTAAAGCGCTTAGTAAATATATCGATATCTATAATGTCTCTCTCTCTCTCTCTCTCTCTCTCTCTCTCTCTCTCTCTCTCTCTTTCTTATCGCATCGAGATACAAATATAACTCAAGACAGCGGAGCGAGTGTGACCATCGAGGCAAGGAAGCGATCGCTGGCTCCACCTACGAAGACTCGCGCGCTTTTCGAATTCGCGCGGGCTCGAGTCTTGAATTACCTTCGTACTATCGATAGCGGCTCGCGATTACGCGGCTCACTGCTGTGCCTCACGTGCAAGTCGTGCAACAGGAGTGTAGCATCGCGTCATATCGCGTCATATCGTGGCATCGCGTAGCCAAATAGTCCCGCTGCTGCCGGATATGGCAATTCTCTTCGTCCTATAGTATGTATATACGCACGATATCATTAGATACCGCGAAGGCGAAACGAAGGGGTTTCTGCATAACGTCTCTCATAAAGTGGAAGTGGATCGAAAAAAAAAGAGGGAAATTTCTCTGTTTCTTTCCCTCTTTTTTTTCCCTCCATCGCGCGCGCGACGCTGGGTTTTGAAAATCGATAAAAAAGGGGAGGAAGGGTTCATTCAATGAGAGAGGGGTGGGCGTTCCTCTTCGATCGCGCGCCAAAACGCGGGATGCTGCGAGCATCGAATTTCATTCGGCGATGATGCCCGACTTTTCAGAAGCCAGAAAGAAATGCAATTATAAGTATACGTCTCTCGTCGCAAGCCTTATCGTTGATAGACGACGTCGCGCGGATTTCTTTTCTTATCTGTCGCACATGAGCATGGCGAGATTCAAACTCGACGTACGGTTCGAGATACACGAAAACCAGATAATCCGAAATTCAGGAGGAGGCATTTTATCGATCCTATAAACGCGCCGCGTGGGCA